GCTGTAACACGATGTATACACAGAGGACTTGGTGGAGGTGCATGTGGGTCCTGAGCTCGCTGCTTCAGTCTCTGTGAATTCATATGAACCTACTCAGCTGGTTTAGAGGGCCTTGTTTTCCTGGTGTCTTCTATCTCTAGCTTTCACATTTTTTTTCTGTCTCGTCTTCTGCATGGTTTCCTGAGATCTGATGAGGTAGGATTTGATGCAAACATCTCATTTAGAGCTGTATTTTCCAAGATCTTTCTCTCTCTCTCTCTCTTTCTCTCTCTCTGCATAATGTCTGGCTGTGGGTCTCTGTATTTGTTCCCTTATGCTACAAGGAGAAGGCTCTCTGATGATGGCTGAATAAGGTACTGATCTATAAGTATAGTAAAATACCATTAAGGATTATTTTATTAATATTTTTAGACTAGTAGTATTTGGTTTTATCATAGGTCTCTGGACTATGTACTGTCTTGTTCTTGGTCACCGAATCAATGTTTTGTGTGGGTGTCATCTCTTGGAGTGGACCTTAAGTCAAATCATTTATTGATTGGGTACTCCCACAAGTTTTGTGCCACAATTGCGTTAGCATATTTTTCAGACAGCACTGATTCTAGATCGGAGATTTTATGGCTGGCTTGGTTTTTATATTTCTCTCCTATAGCCTGCAAAGCACCTAGAATGTAAGGATGAAGCTTCTATGTAGGCACAAGCTCTACCTCTGCATATTCAGTGAGTTGTGTGGCTGTTATTTTCAGCACTGGGATCTAGCTGTCAGTAATGGAGAACAACCTATTGTATTGGCAACTGAATTATTTGGAAGATTTCTGTGGGACCTCTTGGGTCAACAACTCAATTGATTTTCAAATATGGCTAGTCTTGCCTACCACTGTGCTTATGGTCAGTGTGTCATATAATTCTCTTTATCATTTTTTATTTTGTTAGACTTGGTTTGGAATTTGCTCAGGATTTCGTACCTGTGACAGATACTGCTTTGTGTGTGTGCGTGCACACACAAGCACATCTTACTGTGTATAATTACTTTTAGTTCAAATTTTTTGCTTGATTTGTATTGTTTATCTTATTGTCTTAGACTAATTGGTGGTTAGGGGTTGCAGGGATGACTTGCACCCCATTTAGAATGTATGAAACACTTTAGTGTTCCTAAAGCGTAGATCCCTAGAAATTTTGCTCTTTCCTGTTTTCTACCTCAATATTATGATTGTAGGCTGAATTACTTTTGTGACCTCTAGTTGCCTATGAAAGGATCATCAGGGAAAAATGAGTTAACTCTATTGAGTTTAGAGTTGCAAGCCTTCCTTTCAGAAAGTATCTCTGTTTTAAATGCTTAATTTCCTTTTGTTTTATCCATATAAGGTTATTAGAAAAAGACATAATTTCTATAGAGCTGATATTTCTCCAACTTTATTTTGAAGAACTAAACAGTGTCCCTTTGTGCAACTTATCTGTTTGTGAAACACTGCATATTCTTTGTTTATGTGTCTCATAGTGTTTTACAAAATTGTTGCACTAACTCAACTACCTAGAAAGAATTTATCTGATTATAATGCAGGAAACTGTCTTCTGGCTTTTGGTATAATTACATGCAAATTTATTTTGTCATGGTATTGATAAAAACATGAAACTGAAGAATATACAACTCTCATAGCTTGTAATGTATACATAGACAAAATATAGAATGCACTTTTATGTACTGCTCTTATCTGAAGAGAAACAGAGGAGCAATGGATTTGGAGCCAAGGGGAGGTGGTAGTGTGGGGAGCTGGAAGGAGTAGAGGGAGAGGAGGATGCAGTTGAGGTGCATTGTATGGTAGAAGAATAAACAAGCAAACAAATAAATATTTTACACACACATACACATAATCGTTGCTCACCAACAATTTCTCTCAGTTGTGAGTTCTGAGAGCTACAACAGTGACCTGCCTGGATGAAATCGCGGCATAATTGTTATCAGGGTAGATAACTGCTTTCTGATTGGCTTTAAAACTTGCTCCATAGCAAGAAACCCAAGCCCACTACTGTAAATAGATTCAAGTTCCCGTAGTTGAGGAGCTCATACGCTATACTTTTTTTTAAAGATAATTTTTCTTTATTATGCTAAGTAAGATTATTAAGAAGTCAGCATTTTACATAATATATTCAGGGGAGAAATGGGGCTGAGTTTTCAGAAACTGTCATACAATGGGACTAAGTCAGCAGACTTAGTCCTATGCTACACAGAGAAACAATGTTACATAAAGAGAACACAACGTATATCAAGAGCATTACATACCAACTACACAGTGACATCAGAACTGGTAACCATTGCCCCATATCGGGAAGAGTTGGGTTCTCTGGATCTGAAGCCATATTTCCTCCAGGCCGGAGACACAAGTCATTACTGACTCTGCTGGATCATTTTCCTGGTTTTGAGGATCTATGTTCTTTTTGCATCTATCAGGACCTCAAGGAAACCCTTAGTTGATAAGTCCAGCCTTCAACACCCTGGTCCTGACACTGTGTTTTTAACCCAGTGCAGTATGCATACTTATATGAGTTCCAGGATATTATGTCTTAGCTTGGGGGACATATTTATAGACATATATCTATCTATCTATCTATCTATCTATCTATCTATCTATCTATCCATCTATTATTTATTTATTTATCTATTTATTTATTTATTTATTTATTTATTTATTTATTTATTTATTGCTTTTGTCATCTGTAACAGGGTGCTGTAATAATCTTGGGCAAAAGAAAAGCTTTCTGTAGTCTTCCTGATATCCATCGCATAAGAGCTTGTTTCTTCTGTTTGTAATGCTGAAGTCCAGATTGTTTTTAAAATAGTGTCAGTCTAAGAGAGCTCTGACTTAGGAAGCTCTTATTTTTCATAAGATTTTGGAAAAGTTAGGTTTAAAAAGCACTAAGATTTACTTGCTGTATTAGTTCAGGTTTTCTAGAAGAACAGAACTGATAGAATGCATTTATATGTGTGAAAAGGCTATTTTTTTTTTTTTTTTAGATTCTTCATTAAACCACAGGATGTTATGCCCTTAGTCCCAATGGCTATATCTTGACAGAAAGGAAAAGAGTCCAGTAGTTGTTCAGCCCATAAGACGAGATGTCCCAGCAGCCCCAATCTGGTGCAGGAATTCCTGAGAACTCTTAGTGAGCTTCTGATATTGGGCCTATATTAAAATCCCAATGAAGTAGAGAAGGAATGCCTCAGCAACAGGATAGATGATCTTGCAAGTGAGAGCGAGGAAAGCAGGCAAAAAGCAGAATCTTCCTTCTTTCATGCCCTTTTAGATGAGTGGTCACTGTAAGGTGTGACACAAATTGAGGATGTGTTTTCCCGCCTCAAATGACCTGAACAAAATCAGAAACCAAACCAAACCAACCAAACAACCAACCAACCAAACAACATCAAAACAACCAAGGCAAGTTATAACACTCACTCGTGGGAGTATACTAATTTTATTTCCAAAGCCTATGAGGAGACAATGTGTTAATAAAGGAGTATTTTGATTGAGGTTGTGCTAGTTACAAACACAGCATGAGCAGTAATACTTTTTAAATACTTCTATAGGTGGCTATGAGTCCAAGCTACTTTCCATTTCATTAACTTTATTCTTTATCTTTTTCATGTTTGTAACTTCTGGTTGAAATTTCCACCAATTTTATTTGTTTCAGTGAATAAAAGTGAAAATAAAAAGAGAGGGAGACCCCTAAGGTAGATAGCACAGATGTACCATACTGAAAGACTACCCTGTATGAAAGAAGTTAGAAATGTGGATTAAAGCACATGTGAGCTATGAATAGAATACACCTCTAATCTAGAGATGTGGGAAGCTAAGATAGGAGTGTTTCCATGACTTGAAGGCCAACCTAGGTTACACAAGTATATTCTCTCTCAAAGAAAATGTCATACACATACTCTTAAACTGCACATTTAGAGTTTTGAAGCAGTCCCTATACGGGGATAGATTTCTGACTCTGAATAAATGGAAATTCTATCTTCATCTCACATAAGGTTATATCGAGAAGAGCACATGAAGACCCAGAGAGGGTGGGATTCAGGAGACTCAGCACTATGAAGTATCTGGGCTTCTTTATGGTATTTTTATAAAAACCATAGCCTGATTGGAGGGAACTGTGACTTCTCCTCGTTACTGTTTACTAATAGATTGGTTAATCTATTTGCTCTCCTCTCAAGTAAAGATTTACACATTTTAATCTTATGTGTATGGATGTTTTACCTGCATGTGTGTTTTGTTTACCATGTCTGTGCAGTGTATGCAAAGATCAGAAGAGATACTGGATCGCCTTGTCTATAGATATAAATAGCTGTGTGTTGTCTTGTGGATGCTAGGAATAGAACCTGCATCCTACAGAAAAGCAGTCATCCTACACAAGAGCTTTTTTTTTTTTAAATTCATTCTATTTTATTTTTGAGATTATAATATAGTTACATCATTTCCCCCTTGGCTTTTCTATGTACAAATCCCTCATTGTCCTTGTTCTTGTTCAAATTCATGGTCTCTATATTTATTATTATTTCTTGATATACTCACAAAACACACACACACACATACACACACACTTAATATAAATTCTTAAATACTTAAATATAGCCAGCTTCCCTGATCAGTCTGTAAAAACGTTCTAGAAAAATAGCCAATTCTCTTAATCACTGAATCAAATCTTCAGTCCCAGATTTTATTTGCTTTCTTGGTGGCAGTGAGGATTCTTTGCTTTGTCTGTTTTTTTTTTTTTTTTAATCATGGATTATTGGTGTTTGTTTGTTTTTCCATGGACTGTACCATGTTACATGCAAGATTTTGAAGAGCCCCCGACAACTGCTTAAAAGAGAAAATAAGTAGAAATCATGAAATTGGGGCTTAATGTGTAAGATATGGGGAAATGTTGAATCGGGGCTGACAAACGTGTGAATAAGAGACAAGAGCTAAAGCATTCCGTCACTGAGTTTCCTTCCTTGCTTTGGACTTCAGGTCTGACGTGAACGCATCTGCGGCTGTAAGAACCAGCGGTCATCCTGGGTCCCTGCAGCCAAGGTAAGGGCCATTTCCCTCTGTGCCGGTAGGAACCACGCAGTGGCAGAGAATGGGGCTCTGGGGAAAGAGTACTCGAGCCATACCTCAGATCTGAAGATGGGGCACAGATATTTTCTTTTTTTAATATATTTTTATTTTGATTTATTAATGTTCTTTCAGATGATTTGAGAAAGTTCACTGTCTACTCAAAGTGTGGTAGACGTACCTGGATGTAATCTTTTTCCTTTTAATGGCTGTGAAGGAACATTATTTTTCTCATAAAGGGAAAATTAAGTATTCAAAAATATATAAACCCATCTTTATAATATATTTATATTATATATAAAAATAGAGGCAGTGACTTCCTATTTCTGGAGAATTTCTTGATGATTTTTTTTAACAGATCGCCAAGCTCTTTTCCTTCTTCTTGTTAACACATGCCATTCTTGTGAATTTATTTAAAGATCACCAATTAGGTAACAGGAACACGTGAGAATCATCTGGCCCTCGTGCTCTATTTGTTAAGACATCAACATTATTGCTATCTCCTCCAAGCATGAGTTTTCTCTCAGGTGGTCTTCATTGTTCAGCCTCAGTAACTCACCTCCAGGAGCTGAAAGCAAACTGGGCAATAAGCACTGCAATTAGGTTACCTACATGTAATCTTGGTTTTTAAATCATGATGCAGCCTTTGATGTAATTTTCTTTCTTTTAGTTGTTGAAAATCTGGCTTTTTATCCTTTGGAAAAACTCTGTAACTAAGTTTGAACTTTAGTTATCATACTTTTATAATATTATGCATTATTTGTTTATCTAAGAGACCAAAGTTTAAGACAGATTTAAATATTTTTTATTAAATAGGTTACAATTACTACATAAACTAGTAGGAATATTCTAAGTAAGCCTTACTCTGTAAATGGAATTCTAAATTATAATAAGGTAGTGACTGAGTATTTAAAAAGCAAAAGCTTTGTATGATGGGAAAATGATTAATTATGGGTTTTAAATGTTCATTTAGTAAAAGAAAAAAAAAAAACAAATCAACCCCACTAATGAAATATTGTTGTAGAAATTCAAGCATTATATCTCAGTGTATTGAATTAATCTATAAAAATTTTATAATCTTTATATTATTGCAACAATATTTACTTTTTAAAATAACCATTTCCAAAATACTTTAATCTTGACACTATTGTTGCTGTTACAAATATTAGAAAACAATTTTAATGAGATAATTTTATGGACAGCATACTCCTGCTGTGCAATGTGGCTACTTCTAATGAGATAATTTTATTCTTTTTATTATTTTATTAAACTTTACAACTAAAATATAACATTTGGTTATGTAGGAAAGATTATAGGTCTTGACAATATGTATGATATTACATGGTGTATAGTATGGGTTTTGTTATAGCATCTACTTGTGGCAAACTAATTTTATGAAGAAATGATGTAATTCTTTTCATGGCTATAGGCTGAATATTGCTCAGTTTAAGTGAGGATAGATATTAGCAGAACTTCTTCCAAACTCCATGAGTAAATGTTAGGAAGTTTTGTTTCTCAATAGATCTCATCTATAGACCACATTTATTTGCCAAATAGGCTACTACATAACTCCAGTGTATCTCTTCTATATAAGCCACCATGTGGTAGAGTAACTAATATCTAGAATTACTGCATATGTAAGTTAGATTCAACTCTTGCTTAGGAAAATAGATTTAAAAAAAATAGCAACCATATGGCTGTCCTCCATCTTGGCTGGTGACCTCATGACTGTCAGCCATTTTTACTAAGGTTAAAAAGGAGTATATACCATGCGACTTCACCAACTTAAGATAAACACATAATATTAAAAAAATCTATAAAACTTCTTAATCCTACTAAGCTTTCTGCTCATCATTTTATCTCCTTTTTATAAGAAGAAAACAACAACAGGTTTCTAAGATATCTTACATTGATATGTATTTTGTATGATGATAAAAATTTCAAGGTTATAAAGGTCTACTTAGATTAACAGAAACTCACTCAGAGATTTACACCCAACTACCTATGTTTTTGGGAACTCTTTAAATCCAGGGTTCTTGAAAATTTGAGTAACAACATATGTTCAATAAATAAGGAATATTTAATAAATAAGGTTTATAAATTTCTAAGGTATATTCAAGTTCACAGTAGTTTCTTTGTCTTTGCTTATTTTGTTAAGATTCGACATTTGGAGAAACTAAGTCATACAAAAATTTTGATATTTTTTAATGGTATACCATAAAAGGATCAGAAAAGTTCCCAGTTTTGCTATAGACTATTTATGACTAAAAGTTTTATTTTGATCCTCAAAAAGCTCCAATTTAAAATTGTTAATTTTTTAAAAGTTAAACCTATCAGGGATAAAATATAAAGTCCTAATCTTATTAAAAACTACTAACTTATTATAAACTGTTAAAGGTAATTAAGACATGCAAGTTAACACTCAGTAAGCTCATATATGATTAAATTATTTACTGTGTTCAGAACTATACTTGTGGTCATGCTAAATACTTATGTAATTAATCACAGGAATAAGCTTTTTTTAATTTTATTTAGCCTCCTGTATATGTTTTTGAAGTGTAGCCTAACGCCATTACAAACAAGGTTATAATAGATAATCGTCCTCAAAACTTTTCAGAGATCTGTTGAATCTGGCATTTACAGTGTTTAATGGAAAAGCTTATTAGGCAGACAGAAACCCCAGACCCTAGTGGTGTCTGTCTCCAAAGAAGATGAGGAATGACAACTCAACCCGAATTGTGTTAATGTTTACTGTTGGGAGAAACTGCCAATGCCTTACCTGCTGGAAGGGCTCTTTAAAAAAGGAACAGTTTTGGAATGATTGACATGTTCTGCCTGGTCAAAATAAGGTCGTCCCCTCAAGTTCTTCCTCTGCAGGAAAATTCCTCAGAGCTGGATCTGGTAGCTGAAGATTAAATGCTGTCCTATAGGACAGCCTAAGACCCAGTGCCTACAATTAAGCCAGTTGAGACAACACGAGCCTGGAGCAATCTGCCATAGTGTGCTCTTCATCGAATCTTCATCGGTGTGAAATGTTCAACCCTATCATTCAGCCTCTTTTCTTTATTCTTAAAATTCCAATTAGTCGTGTGCAGCTATAACCCTTCTTGTCTACTTTTAGATTGTTATCTGTATTTGTCATCCTATCTAGCAGTGTTTTGTGGTGGGGTGAGTTTGCATGCTCACGTGTGATATTCCTATTTAGGCGTGTACATGTTGTATGAAGGCACAGGTGAATGTAGGTGATTGTGTGAGTGGAGGTTGTAGGTTGACATTTGATGTCTTTCTTAGTCAATGTCCACTTTATTTGCTGAGGCAGAGTCTCTTGCTGAACGTAGAATCAATGTAGTAAGCCAGTCAGGGTAGCCAGCCTGTCCTGGGAGGAGTTCCTCTATGTTCCTTCCCTGTTTTAGGAAAACAGGTAGGTCAGCGTATCTACCACGGGTGTATGCAGATGGAGGGAGTCTGAATGCCAGTCTTTTTTCAAACTTTTGCTATGGGTGATTTATCTATTGAGACATCTCCCCAGCACAATAAATGCTTTCTTCAATCTACGTTCCAATCTCCCCTCAGTGCTGAAACTATTTTTGTGGTTCTCTCTCTTTGGCTAAAAGCTTTCCTAGAGTAAGGTAATCATATTTGCCTTTTTGTTTTTTTTTCTTTTGTAAAGACTTTACTGGTTACGTTTTAAGCAATTATCATTTTGCAAGCCCCATATTTAAATCTTAAACATGTTTTGAAATGATTTGATATTTATAAAATGAGATTATAGTGCCATTTTTTCACATATAAATTTCAAATTCTGTAGACGGTATTTATTTACTTGTTGGTACCCACATCAAAACTGACCTGACTATGCAATCTTAGGCACATTTCTCCAGTGTGTTCTCTGTTCCGCTTGTCTCTGTTTCAGATTTTCTCCTATTCTCTACTCTGCTTCTCCACTCAGTTCATTTCTTTTGCTGCACAGAATCATTTCAATTTTCCATTTTAGTGTAAAGAAAAATGAATTATGAAACTCTTAGAAAATTGATACAATTGGAAAAATATTATTCCAAGTAAGCTAACTCTTGACAGAAAGACTAATAGTGAATGCTTTCCTTCATATCATAACCATAGCTTTAACCTTCTAAGTTTGTGTTTAATATAGAATGTTTGTGGTTAGCTGGAAGCTAGATGGAGGGCCATAGTCTGGGGTGGGAGAGATCTTAAGATGAGAGAGGATTATGTGATTTTATTTGTGATATTAAAGTTAAAGCAAGGAATATTGCAGGTAGTAAATTTTAGATGGGGATGGCGAAGGGAGACGAAGGAGCTGAGTTGGGAGAGAGGGAGAGTTAATTTAAGCTAAAGATGTATAAAGAAGCTACATGAAAACTGCTTTACAAACTAATCTAAGATAATACCAATCGCAGAAGCCTCCGTTGGTTGTTGACAACGAGAGTTCCAAGTGCCATAAACAATATTTCATTATTTATTTGCCAGACTAGAAGCTAAGATATTGTTGCAAAAACAAAACAAAACAAAAACTCCCACACACAAAACAAACAGACAAACAGAACAGAACGAAACAAAACAAAATCCACTATTCACTTTGTATATAGGATATAATGGAATCATGCTAAACATATTTTCCCTGCTGGCTATCTTTCTTTGTGTTGGAAGTTGCTAGGCAGGAAATCGGGAGAAAAAAGTGATGACTGTTCTTCCCCATCTGTGGACCTGCCAATCCAGATATGCTCACTGCTGTAATAGTGGCATGACTGTTGTAGGGTTAAGTAACTGTTTTCTGTTTGGAATTAAGGCCTACTTCTTAGGATCAAGTTCATGGCTAGTATTGTCAAAAAGAAAGCCCATTGTTGGGGTGAACCTTTACTCTTGTTGTGCTTAATGGACGTTTTGTTAAAGTACTTGCTAAATATGTCCATAGAATAATTCTGCCTACAGAATTATCCAACTAAGCTTCTTATAATAGT